CGAGGGTAAAATTTAGAGGAGGAAGGTGCCATTCCAACGGTGCATACCTTTTGCATACCTTGGTGAGCACCCGACGTTCATTTTGGAGGAGGAAGGTGCCATTGCAGCAGTGCATACTTTATGTGAGCCACCCGAGGGTAACATTTAGAGGATGAAGGTGCCATTCCAAGGTAGCAGACCTTCTGTGAGCCACATGAGGGCACAATTTAGAGGAGGAAAATGCCATTCCAATGCAGCAACGTGCCCGTGCGCAAGTGAGGTCTATTATAATAGTGCGCGTGTGAGGTTTTGGGCATGGCCATGCATGGCCCCTCTTTATCACATTTTTTGAAAATAGGCCAGTGAGGTCAGTTTTGTGTGCGCACGTGAGATCGACCGTTCAGAAGGCCTCAAGAGAAGAGATGCTCAGAAGGCCCCGGCCCATCCCCGACGACCGCCTCCGCCATCTCATCGACTTACACAGCTTAACGCCAGAACATCATTTGTAATTACGTGGGTCAATGGGCCTTCACGGGCTTCCTCAGATTTCCTCAGCTTTGGAACACCATGTCTGCGTTTCACAGCCAGGAACCAGGGTTGCATCCAACCGACTTTGAGCGCATCAGTGATCAGGACAGGTTGCATAAACGCTGCCGACGAGGGAGTGGACGAGTGAATGTGAACGATGAATGGGGAAATCCGCATCCGCCTCTAACTATCCCACATCCGAACAGGCACGCGTGTGGATATGGAGAGAAAACTGACTGAACATGGACATGTATATGTTTTGTGTTCCATGTTAATATTTACATGTTCTACAATTGTACGATATATGTTGTGTTTGTTGTTCATACATGTTTATGTTGCAGTTCATACTCCAGAACAATTGTAGTTCAAGTGCCGGGACTCACAGTGCGCCCCCGTGTTTTTTGTTTTTAAGGTTTAGGCTTAGGGTTTAGGGTTTGCATTGCCGTTTGCTTTGAACCATGAACCTGTTGCAAATCGTTCGCCATCATCCCATTGTCAATACCATCCAAAACCCACCCAAAGTCTCCTTTGCATTACAGTGATTTGGATGCACATTCCAAAGTCTCAGCAGATATAGTGGCGTCGTTTTACCTTTCTTACATACCCTGTGAACTTAAGGGGGTTTGTGTTTTTGATCAGAGCAGCAAGCCTGACTTTTGAGGTGTCAATGCTTCATTTCAGCTTCACCACAGCCGGCCGTTTCAGCCAGCCCACCTTCCAACAAGGAGAGCGACGGAGCTGACGTGTCCAAGGAGGCACGCAGTGGTTTGTGTGGTGCTACAGTCGAGGAGATGTTGGTTTGGCTGGGAAGGATTCCCAGACAGAACCGACCGCAAATCGTTTGTTGTGAAGTCTCCCAGACAGAACGGCCATAGGTTGGTTTGCTTTTGGAATCAGAACTGGGGGAGGCCGGGGACGGTGTTTTCACTCGTTCGGATCGAACAAACATAGTGTTTGACCAGCGGGGTTGCGCTGGTCCACTTGGTCGCACCAAATTCGAAACCTCACCTGCCACACCGTGCCGACAGGCGCTGCGGATCGACTGCTCCTACAGGGAAGCGGAGAAGACGTGCCAGCAGCGCCTTCGTTCGGAGGCGTCCGGAGGGTTGTTTGTTTTTTTGGAGTGGCAAAACACGAAGAGGCCAAAAAACACCTGGGGAGTTTTTGTTCGGTGAAGTGGGGACTGATTCGATGTGTTTGTCAAATCAGACATTTTTTGATGTTCTTTGTACTCTTTCTGAAGATTTTATATGACATTCCTTCGTTATGCTAGCCGCTAGCCACTCCGAGGATTCCATGTCCAAAATATAATGAGGGTGACCAAACTGAAATGAAGATCATGACCACTATCACGTGCGTAGAACCCTGTAGTTGAACCAGTGAACGCTTGGGATTGCTCGGAGCGAACCATCCTCCATTGAGTCGCCAAAAGGCCCTGGAAGACAGGAAGTCTCCACACCTACACCCAAACACGATCGATGGACTGGCATAGTAATTGATGTGGTTTCAGAGGTTATTGTATAGTATAGGTAAGTCAAGCAAATCTTCCATACATGGAGTCTCTGAGACATGTGTATTCTGCGACCTTGCTGTAGATCGAAGGTAGTCTCCCGCAAATCTTCAGCAACCATTGATTTGCTTTCATGTTCTCTTGGCAAAACTCACAAGAGTCACATTTGATAAGGGTTTTTGGTGCAAACCGGCAAGCCAACCCTAAAGAGCATTTTGGAATAAGCCATCACTTTGGACCACGGGTCTGTTGATTTGGCCTGGCATATTAAAACAGGAGTTAGTTCTTCCAGAAGATACAGTTCACACAGCAATTGCAAGAAAAGAGTTATTCTTTGCCTAAGGTGTAGGACGCCCAACTCCCCCTTGCCGGAGAACAGTTCAATCCACATGGCCGGGCCAGGCCCGTGTTTCACTGCGCTTCGTTTCGCTGAGACCGACACGGGCCTCGATGCCGGACGAGGCTGTGGATGTGGATGGCTGGAAACTCGAGAAGTCCCAAATGGAGCTGGTGGAAGAAAGCGAAGAAGATCTTCAAGAAGCTGGGTCTGATTTACAGTAACTACTAGGAACAAGAAACTATTAGCGGTTGGAGGCCATCGCTACTAGGGTGGAGGCCATCGCTATTAGTAGCAAGAATCTACTGGTAGCAAAGGGCATCGCTACTATTAAAACTTGCTGTGCTGTCCAAATCTTCAACTTCTTTGAGTCACGACTTCTTTGCGCACTCGTCCGCTGCGCCCTTTTCGTGCCTCAAAAGCCGCCCTGAGAAGTGCATGTTTCCATGCTCCTGAGAACTTCTCGTCTCTACCCTCTGGCACTCTTCCAGTGTGTACCAGTTATGACCTTCCTTTCAGACCGTTGCGAGATGCCCGGCCGGGATTGAGGGCGCTGTTTTTTACGCACGCCATCACCTGCACGCCACGCTGCTGCACCGCGCGGAACTCCACTGCTCCACTGAGGAGCTGAAGATCCTACTGAGCTGCTGCCAGCACGAAAAGAACCGACAACGCCTTCACGCCGCCATCAAGGAGTTCGAGGCGCTGCAACAGGGCGCTGCAACACTGCAAGATACGCAGTTCGCATATGGATTTTGGGTCGATGAACATTTCCGGTTTGAGGCAATTTCGGGACAGCCAGGCAGATGGAACAATATCGGAGGCTCCAATGGTGGCCCACCCTCGGGGATTCTTTCTATTTGGGGATTCTTCCCAGACCTCGATTCGCACGAGCCGGCATGCCCCCGCTGGTTGCTCGCAAAAAAGGACATTGTGCCAGGCCATGTACTGTGACATCCGATTTAGTCCTTTCAAGACATGGACAGGTCACTTCGCATCGCACCGAAACAGATGTACTCGTAGCCTGCTGACAAAATGGAGCCCGCAGACACAAGATGTTGCAGTTCTATGTGAACAAGATTCAATTAATCAACTTCCATGCAAATATGATGCAAATGTAATCCCATGTGCTGCGAAATGCAAATGGAATCCATGGGGTGGGCAAACCCATCCAACGATGTTCCAAATTGAATTGCAGTGCATCAACCTCGTAATTAGGAATTTCCGAGACACTTGTCGACCGCATCCTTACACACTCCCTTGCCCTGCTTCTTGACCAAGAGCCATGCAGTTCGTAGCCTGTAGTGTACAGAGTGTAGTTTTTCACCTCTTCCGTAGCATTTCTCTAGAATAGCTCCGACGTGTCACCGGAGCCAAGCCCACCCAACCCCACCAGGAAACCCGGGAAGGGGAGGCTCGTGGGAGCGTACGACCGTCCGCAAGTGCGTACATCCACTCGGCACAGGTAAAGCTTCGAACAAGGCGCACTTGGGCCTGGTTCCCCCTGCCCCGTTTCCAGTGGTGACTTGGTCCTGTTTCAGGTTGTTACTTGGGTGAGAGGGACATGGAGCGGCCAAGGATTCCTGTATCGAAACATAGACATCCCGTTGGCCTTCTTTCGGGTTTGATCCACCAAGATTCAAGAGTTTAAGTTCAATTACTTAAGATGTCAACATATATCATATTTACACAATCTTGAAACTTGTGACAGCTTTTCACCTCTCGGGAAGACTCTAAGCAATCTAGAGCATCCTGTGAAGTAGTACTGGACGACACATGCACTGTTGCATATATACATATGATATATGTACACGTTTTTAGACAGGCAGAGACTACACAATATATAATGACATGCTTTGGGTGCTTCTTGTGTCAAACATAACCCTGCCAACATCACGGGTATCCTGTGGTCATGAGAAGGGGTCGCCACAGTACATCCATCTATATGAGCCGGAATCAGTGCCGGAAACATGATCCGTTTGCCCCACTGGTCACCTGACTGATCTGGCTGGGTCCTGGCTACCGAACAGGTTGTTGAAGTGCATGTTCCAAGACCATAGTCGCGCACCAAAGGCTCGCCAAACGATCTATGGAACCTCAGATCCGACCTCCCGTCTATGGAACACGATGTCCGGGAGATGTCCGGGTGGGGGGGGTGGCGGGGTGTCTTGAATGTGTTTCAGGTCGGGCTTTGAATACGAGAAGCCCTGCATTTTGCTGGACTTTCACGTCCCAGGTGGGCATGAGAAGGGAATTGAAAGTGGAACGGCCGAAGCTGCGGCTGAGTCAGTTTGGTGTGCATGGCCAAATGCCATGTTTGTTAGATGACAGTGGCTGCTTGTACAACATACATGCATGTATATAACGAAGAGATTCGGGCAGATGAGTTTGCTACAATTTAGTGTTTATGTTTCATGTTGGTTTATTGAATTCTACAGTAGCGTACCAGCATGTACAGCCCTTTTGAGACTCCACACCTCGTAAACTGATGAGTTCGTGACTGGTGTCACACCCACCACCACCTAACCCTGTTTGAGTTTGTGTCTTTCTCTTTTGCAGACCCCAGTTCCCCGGTCGTTTCACCCACGGCTCGCTGGGTTTCACGACTCGCTGGGTGGAATCGAAGGTGTGGGCAGCTTGCCGCCAGAGGATGTGCACTGTGACTTCGGAGTGGACTGGTTCGACCTGAAGGCGCAAACATTCGATGTGAACACGTGTGCCAGTGGGGACGGGAGGGGCCAACGTCGAAAACGTCACCGGGGTCCAGAAGGAAAACCACTCGTGACCGAGTGGTCGTGACCGTTTGGCCTCTGTGAATTTGGTCATGTTTGACGTCAAGCTAGTTACAACTAGTTACTGCGAATGCATAAACAGAAGCAACAGGAAACACAGGTAAACACACGTAAACATCCCGCTATCTCAACAGAGCGTCTCCCAAAACCACAGTATAGATTGACCATCATTGGAGAAAGACTAGTGTGTCATAATCTTCAGTGGGTCAAACCCGGGCTAGACCAAAGAACATGAACAGAATGGACTAGTAAGGAGGTCAACCTGCCCTGGTTTGGGCTGGTTTTGACCCACAGCCATATATTGCAGCTTCAACCCAATAGTAGGATGATGTAGGATGTAGTAGGGCACCCATCGCTATTAGGTTGGAGGCCATTGCGACTAGGTTGGAGGCCACTGCTATCCACTGCTATTAGTTGGTCACCCATCGGCCGTCGAAACTGTTTCAAGGCCATGATCATCGACCGTTGTCGAACCCGTCGCCCGTCAGGTCTGGAATGTGAAGTGGTCGGTCGAGGAGCCGAGATGGATCGTTTTGGCCCAAAGAATACTGAAAGGCCATAAAGATCCCACTATGTTTGAGGGGTAGGAGCAAGGACGCTACTAGGGGCTCCTGGCCTTACTACTAGGAACAAGAAGCTACTAAAACTTTGCCACAAAGATCCCACTATGTTTGAGTTGTTTATTGTGTTTGATTCTTTAACTTTAGTTGTTGTGTCACTTTTCTTTCCGTCTCGGCCAGTGGTCGTCCGGATCGTTTTCACTGCTGGATATCACTTGAATGAAGGTATTCGAACATACAAGCTCAATGGACACCCAGCAGATGATACCAGTTTACTGTGAATGATTCAGTATTCTTTATCCTCACTGTGGCTACCACTAGACATCACTAGTAGACTGTTGTCGTCATATTCGGTCATATTAATATTCGTATATTCTGCATACACTAGACTGGATATACCAGCACCCTCCAACAGCTTGAGACCCCCGCAAGGAAAGGGTCCCAGAACGCGAAGAAACAACGGCGGATGCGTTGTGGTCGGCGGATGCATCCAGTGATAAACGGCGCTCCATGTCCATGTCTCTACAGCTTGCTGTATTGAGAACCGGTTCTCCCTGACATTACACCCTGGAAGACTAACATGGACCCTAAAAACCACTGGTTGGTAGAGGAAAACACTCTTCCAGGGGGCCATTGTCAGGGTCCATGTTAGTTTTCGGGAGTGTAAGATATGAGAACTGCTTGTTCTATATAGCTTATAAGCTATTGTGAGAACTGCTTGTATACGAAGAAAGATCATGGACCACTTTTTGACTGGTTGAAAACACAGCTCCCACGAGCTCTCTTCATCTCCAGGACGCTGTGAGGTACCACCACCGTGTGAAAAAGACTCGGCTCCTGAGAGACATCGTTCCTTCTGAAAGCTCCGTGGAAGCACAAGGTGGGCCGCGATGGGACGACGGTGCGCGGAGGGACGACGGGGATGCCGCCGAGGCATAACAACGACAAGGTCAACACCAAAGACTAAGGTGGGTTGGATCAAGTTATTTGATGTTCTGTTGCTCAAGGAAGTTCCACAAAGGTTCCTCTCTGCTTGCGCTCGTCATTTGTTGAAGAGGAGAATGCCCTTGCGGCTAGCAGCTAGTGATAGTGGGGCTTTGGTAGGTGGACAAGATGCCAGATGCATCAATGGTGCCATGAATGGTACATGGCTAGCAAGAAGGTTTCGTGGTGTCGTTTCTCCATTGGTTTTATTGGAGTTGGTGTTTAGCCTGAGTGTCCCCTCTATTCTCTTAAAGTGGTTGGTGGTCACTCTTGATGCTGATGCTTTTGGAGTAATTAGACCAGATCAGATCGAGTTGTGCATGGAGTCCAAGAAAAGTGCATGGAGCTCAGCCCAGCCTCTCCGTGTTTCAAGACTTGCTGCACTGATTCACCTCCAGTCACTCAAAACCGAGTCAGTAAAAAAACGAGGTTATAGCTATAATCAACAAGGCACCGGTGCCTGGAGCCTTTCATAGAATCGGGTGTGACTAAAACGCCGTGTTCTGGATGCTATATTTCAATATTAATTCTTTGGGGGTCTTTGATGTGTCCCAAATCATTCCCAAACTGCGATCGCCGGGAGATGTGCCCAGGGGATCATCTTTTGGTGAAGCTGCAGAAGGCGTTGGACCCACGTCATGGTTGCCGGGCTGCGACATACCAAGCGGTGTTCCTTGGGAAGCGACCGATGGGGGAGGCCTTGGCTTCATTGATTGTCCTACTCAGGAAAAGTGGGTAACTTGCAAACACTGCAAGCATTGCAAACCAATTTTTTGGGATTAGTTTCCCAACTAAATCCAACAGGTGGAAAAAAAGCCTTCTCGGCTCCCCAGCTGTAGGGCTTACGCGCCGCGGTGCGCCGGGGGAGGGCTGTCAGTCGCGAGACTGAGGTCCTCCGTCTACTGAGGTTGCTGCCACCCAGTAACCATCCCGTGACCTGTGGTACTGGTGTGACAGTTGTTAACCCGGTGGATTTTCGCCATGGCTTTTGATGCTGGAGTGTTCCTCGACACGCTGGATTCCCATTATGCTGAGAAGTGTGGGGGAGTCCTGTGTGGGCTCAGTGATGGACCTATGATCGTTTGGGAGGACTGCACTGTCCTTTCCGGACGTTACACTGGAATGAAGAGTGATTCCTTGTTTCTGGACCTTGGCTCATTCAGGGCTGGAGTGGGCTTTGTGTTTGATCAGGTTGAGGGATCCTCCCTCCACATTCCGAACTTGCAGACCAGAGTTCTGCCGTTCACGGTGGGTGACATCATTGTGTGCTGTGGCAAGATTTCGAAAGGCTCATTGACTGATTGGATATGTGATCCAGGTATCACTTTGACCAAGAGACCAGTGTACAGTGTGAATGGACAATGGGACGTCGTGAACTTCTTTGCTGGGGGATTTGCTGGATGGTCACACGCTTTTCAGTTCCTTCCCAGAATTTTCCCGGAGTTTTGCATTGGACACCATATCCATTTGGATCATGATGCTGACATTGCACAATTGTGGGCGAAAAAGTTGGGCAAACAAGTGTTGAAAGGGCCATTGCTGCCTCCGACAGTTCTGGAAGCAACATGCCACACGGCGATTCACACCAGTGTGGAGGACTTTACTTTCCTCCATTGTTTCAACCCGAGCTCCAATGCATTGTTCACTGCAAGCCCCCCTTGTCCGACGTGGTCAAGAGGTGGACGGTCACGTGGTCTCCAGGATTCCCAGGGTTTTGCCTTCGTTGACTTCATTCGTATGGTTGTTGCAGGGCAACCCTTGTTTGTGGGTGTGGAATGTGTTGATGAACTCGCTTCTCACGAGCATTTTCCCTTTTTGTTGGAAGTGTTCAAACGAGCGGGGTTCATTTGCAAATGGCAAAGGGTTTTTCCTTTGCACAACCTTTCCCATGCATTCCGGACTCGGTGGTTGGGGCTTTGGTTCAGGGCGGACATCGATCGGAATGTTGATCTCCAAGCTCTGCCTTTGAAGGCGCCACGCATAATCCCATGGACAGCTGAGCATTACAACTTTGTGCTGCCACGAGCGTTCACTGACCAATTGACATTGGCACCATCCGAAGAGAAGATTTATGGCAATCGTGAGTTGCTGCCAGCTAGCAAGAAGCGACATCTGTCTCCTACTGCAGGGGTTGGAGACGTCCTCAATGCCAGATTGGCTGATCCTGCAGCCCCTTTACCAACTTTGTGTGCTAGGTATGGGAGTCAACACCACTTACCTGAGGCTCACCTTTTGGCAAAGGGTATTTTCGCTGTGCTCATTCGGTCGGGCCCGCACTTTCGTTTCGTCGATCCGTTCGTGCATGTCGGACTTTTGGGAGCCACGGAGGAGATCGTTTTGTCCGCCAAGGCATCTTTGGCTTTTCAGCAGGTAGGAAATGCCATTGCTGTGCCGCACGCCCTTCTCGTGTTGCGCTCGGCAATTGATGCCATCATGGACTCGAAGTGCGATGTTCGCAAAGCGATCTACGACTGCTGGCAAGAGCGTATGACTAGCTTCAATAGCATTGTTGTTGCTGACGGCCAGTTTATTGTGATTTGCAAAAGGTCCCACATTCTCAGGGAGTTGAAGCTTGAACCACCTGATCAGCTGCCCGAATCGACGGTGACTTGGATTGTTGTGAGCAAAGCCAATGGGTGTTCGAAAGAGATTCGACTGCCTTCTGACTTCTCCGCCGGTCAAGCCTGTGCTATCTTCGTTTGGAAGCATGACATCAAGAGTCACATCTTCCTCCGACATGAAGACTACCCTAGCATCATGAGGCTTTCGCTCCGTGACCTTGCAGTCATTGTGCAGCAATGTGATCTTTGCCTGGCAGGTCATCCTTTCGCTGAGGTCTCAATGCAGGTCAATGCTCCGGTGCATCACATCGAGCATGCAGACCTCTCGACTTTTGTCAAGCAGGTCCTCACTAAGGTCCCAAATGCTTTCGAATCGCACCCGTGGACTGCCATCAATTGCCGCTCCCGACTTGAGTCGTTGACCGTGTCGACCAAGGTGCCAACCGTGTGGACTTTGACCCAAATTGTGGAGAAGGTCTTCATGCCCTTCGCTGAGGACCGCCGGATTGCACTCGTGCCTGTCAAGCAGGGTCCTGTGCCCGATTTGCTCCGTGCCTCCACCATGTTTGGTTTTTCTAGCTCCTGGACTGTCACTTTTGGTTCTAGCCCGGCCTTTGAATTGACAGGGGACTCAGTTTATGACTTGATCTCACCAACGATCCCCTTCTCAATTGTCACTCCAAGGGATGGACTTCTTGAGCAACCATCGCAACTTGGCTTTGAACAGATCTTGTCCACGTCCTTCTTCAAGCAAGCGCTGTTCGTTTCGGAGACACACCTCGCGGTCGATCCTCAGTGTCAGACAACGTGGTTTGCCGTTGACTCTCCTGCCATGATGTTCTCACTGCCCCTTCGCAAGAGGCAGCTTTCGCACAACGATGAGGTCCACCTCCCGCTGATTGCCAAACGTCCACGTCACCATTGCATTCTCCCTGATCGTGCCATCGAGGGCTTCCTTTTGCCTCACGTGCCGGCTAACCGTCCGTGGGTAGTTGGGTGTCTCGGGTCACAGGCATTTTGTGCATTAGTCAAGCAACACCCGGAGCACTCTCACTGTGTCCAACTGGGGGGGCAGCATTTTCGTCTCTTGAAGGTCAATGGAGTGACCCCCGCCGATCCCTTCGATGGATTTCGACACGCCGACGTACTCGAGCTTGCACTGCCTGGTCCCATCTCAGCAGGTGGCCACCACCATGCTGACCCTCAAGCTCTTCCAGCCGGAGCCTCCTTTGAGGCCAGATGCGAATTTGCCGTGAACACTTCCGGGTGGCTTGCCGAAGATGAGTTGATTTTTTTCACTCAGCAGATCCAATGGGTCAACCCTGACTTCGGGTTTTTCACTCCGGTCGTCAAATGGGATCGTGAGCTTGAGTCTTTTGACGAAGACTCTTATGGTGAAATTTCGGTTCCGAACAATCGCTTGACCATCATCCCTGTCCTTGCTGGAAGCCACTGGGCAGCAATCGAAATCAATAGAGTTAGCCGCAGGGTCCAAGTTCACGCTGTTGGATTTCCGGGTCCCTTCCTTCCTCGTGTGGCTGCTGCGATTGCCCGTGTCCTTGACGTGACACCTGACATGCTCCAGTGTGATGCGATCCCTTTGGCGGACTTGCCGCACATGTGTGGGTGGCTTTTACTCCGTAGGTGGATCAACCTTGCTCAGATGTCAGACATGTTGCCTCCTACTGAGGATGGGTTTGGTGCACTTCCCATTGACAAGCAACAGCTCATCAATGATGTCATTACCAGTGCCATCGAAGACTGGATGAGAGCGGATATACACCTTGACGACTGGCTTGTCCCTTCTAAGCTTCGTCGTGCCTTCTTTGTGCATTTAGGCCAGAACTCGCCATTCGGTGAGCCTGTCACTACACTTCGCCTGTTTGTGCATTTCCAGGACTCTGACGATCCACCACCGGCTCGATCATGTGCCTTGTCGCTGATACACCCGGCTATGCCAGAGTTCCACGTTCTTGGCAGGCTTGTCCATATCCGTGATCACCCTGGATGGCTTGCCTCAGATGAACTCGATATGCTGCTTGACTTGCCTCGGAAGCTCTTTTTCGATGAGCTCCTTTGCCCTCCATGTTGGTGGGACTCTCGACGAAGAGTCATTGTCTACTTCGGTGGCCTCTTGCCGGACTTCCGCTTTCACCAGAAAGTTTCGTGGTTCTGCATTATCGATACTACTTGGATCCAGATCGACATGAAAGTCACACCAGATGACTCAAGATTCTTCTTTTGTGCCGCCCCGCCACCACTCTTTGCTGCAGCGGATTTGGTGATTCAGGCTATCGTGCAGGCCATTGGAATTTCCCGGGCGTTGTGCCAAACTGTTATGGTGCCTTTCACAACACCTGAATCATTCTGCGGTTGGACTTTGATTCATGGCTTGTATCTGCGCCGCGGACTTCAGCTGCCTGATTCCACGATCCCTATGCTCGCCACCCTGCGAGCTTCGAGGCACAGTGAAATTCTCAACGAGCTCAACACCGCAGCCATTGATCAATGGGAAAGATCCGAAGCTTCAAGTGATCTGATTGACTTTGCTTTCGATGCAAGACAGGTCTTCCTTGTGCAAGTTTTGCAGGGCAGGTGTGCGTCTTCTATCGGTGCTGCCGGAGGTCCTCATGACTCCTCTGTCCCCGCTGGTCCCAGCGCTGCAGCAGGCAGTGTTTCGGGAACTCTTGCCACCGATCCATGGACTTTGCAGGATCCGTGGTCTCGCAAGCCAAAGAAGCTGTTTTCCACGAAATGGGAAGACCTTGTCCTTCCGGAAAATCACCCCATTGTGTGCGATGCCGGGAAGTCTTTGCCACAGACGCACCGTCTCCAAGCAATTTCAAGAAGGAACGGTGCCATCCTTGCGACCAAGTCTGCAATCCCTGAGCTGGTTCGAGCAAACCCAAATGGGCCAACTGCGATTGTTTTGCCTCAAGCCGACATTGCTTCCTTTGGAGACTTCGCGAAAAAGATCCAAGGTCCATTCGAAGTCGTGCTACATGACCCTGCATTGCAGGCAGATTATAAGCGCCTGGTCCTGGTTTTGACTTTGCACGGAACGGTCAGTTTCCAGCTTC